AAGAAAAAAACTGCAGCTAACATCACACTTAATAGTGAGAAACTGGAAGTTTTTCACTTAAGAAAAGGTAAAAGAGAAGGATGTACACTTTTACCCTTGCACTTTTGGCCTGTACCCCAGTTCTGTATAAATAAATATATATTTTTTTAAATAAAAGGATCTGCTTCGTTGAAAGCAAACAGAACTAACAAAAATTCAATAAATGCCTGTATTAGAGATGGAGAAAACTTCTAATTACTTAGGTTGAAGACTGAGTATGGAAATGTTTGCCATTCAGCTCTATGACAAACAAATCATGAAAATTTGTTTGCAATGTTGAAACAAAAGAGTGGACCAAGCTGTAATGTTGAATTTACTGTTAACATTGGGAAGTTTAAATGATGTAAGATATACTATTCATTATATAATGTAAGAGTGATGAGTCTGTGAGTTCTAATGTAAAGGCAGCAGCTGAAAAGAAAAAAGGGGCCTTTCTGGTGGACAGGGGCTGAAGTGTCAGCACTATCAAGATACTGCCAGCCACTGTGATATTAGTTCAATCCCTAGCCAGGGATTTAACCCACATGGCACAGCAGACCACTTTTGTCTGGCCTCCTGGCTCCCCTCAGCAGTGTATCTCATTGATTTGCCTGTTCTGCTTGCTACTCTGTCTCTGGTGATAGCTCTCACACACCCCACCTGACCCCCCACCTCTGGCCTACACCCCAGTTCTTGTATGAATAAATAAATAAGATTAATCTTAAAAAAAAAAAAAGAGAAACTCTAAATAAGCTTACTGTGGTGGTAAATTACTTGTTAAAGCAAATCTTCATTATGAATGAAACTTGCCAGTTATAAGGGATACCTGAAAATACTTTTTTTTATTAGGCATTCAAGTTAGTGCCAGCTTTTAAGGCTTTTAAGGACAAGGTAACAGTCCTACTTAGGGACAGTGTTGCAGACTACAGATTAAAATCTTTGGTGATATGGCACAGAACCCCAAGGCCTTAAAGTACAGTAATAAAACACAGTGTCAGCCTATTGGCTGGAGCAATGAGAAGCCGTGAATGACTTAGTTCTTTTTGCAAGAACCCCTCCTGAATTGCTGTGCTAGAGAAATGGAAAATTACTATTTGAAATACTTACGTTCTATTATGTTTACACAGCAACAAAGCTGCCTATCAGTGAGTTTCTCAGAATGAACCCTATTGTTAAGTGACTTATAAATATGTGAATTCCAAGTTTTAATATTTGGATGGTTGGGTGCATCTAGCTAAGCAGGGAAAAAAAGGTTATGATTGTGACTTTTATTATGGCATGTATTAAATGAAGCTTTATTTCACTTATATTAAGACTAGTTTGTTATGTATTGAATTTTATATTGTTGCTTTTTCACATATGTTTTTGTTAAAATAAGAATTGAAAGAATTTTTAAGTAAGCTTGAAATGTAAGAGATGCCTCAACTTTCATGTTATTAGAACAATTTGATACAGATTTCATTCAAATGTTACTGATTTTTTTCAGTGACACCTATAGCAAGATGTCATCTTCAAACTTTATTATTTAAAATTTCAGTTTACTAACCTTACTCTGAATCATTAAAATAAAATAATGGAATTAATATAGTATATATTTTTTTGAATATTGAAATTTAGAAAATTAAATTATCTTTTGCTTCTATTTAGGGCTTTTCACTTTTTTAATTGTGAACATATATCAGCAAGCATTTAGTGACCACCTGCTCTATGCTAATGTCATACTTTGTATGTACTAATATTCACCAAAATATGGAAGTTAGATTTGCTAACTTATAATGAGGTTAGGGTGAAGTTTAAATAAGTTATGAAGGATATTGGATTTTTATGACAGTAAAATTCTGTTTTAACAAATAAGATACATTCTGGTATAATAAAGTATTTTCTTGGTTAATGACTCCAATATTGTTTCAGTGGATTTGATTAGAATAACTTATAATGAACAACTACATTTTTATTTCTGCAAACTTCATGCTTTTAGCACAGAACTTCATTTTAGGCTCTTTTATTCATCATCACTGGCTAGAGGTGATCTCTGTGTGGTGGTAGGACAGTTCTGTGACGAGTGCTCTCATGTCCCTAAAATTTTTCTGTTACCATTTTTCACTTCTAAAACTACTCTAATGCCCTCTAAACTCATCTGAAGTCAGGGTTCAGTTTCATTTCTTCTTTTGAGCCTTGTAGGCAATAAATGACTAGAAATTAGTTTCTTTAAATAAAATTTTGCTTTAATACAGTAATTTGATTGTTTTTTAGGGTTTGTCATTAGATTTTACTGTTATAGGTGAAATTCACTTTGACTATTAATAGTCTTATTTTTATAATTTTAAATTAAAAACATAAGTAAGACATGAGTAGAACAACAGATTTTATATAGCAAATACATTTATACTGGAGACTTAGAAGAAAATTTCAGTATAAACTGAAGACTTCCTATATTTTTGAAAAAGTTGCTAAATTTTAGAAGAAAAATTTCAGTATATACTGGAGATTTCCTATATATTTGAAAAAGTTGCTGCTAAATTTTGACATTACTCATTTGCCTTCATTAATTGGATTCTAATTTCCTTCTCTAGAAAGGGAGTTCTGGGAGTTATGTAACAAGTGTAATCTGATGAGACCTAAGCGTTCCCATCACTGCAGCCGCTGTGGCCACTGTGTTAGGAGAATGGATCATCACTGTCCATGGTAAGAAAAGAATAATTCACTTTTAGTAAAAAATAAATTTTATTACTTAACAGGTTAAAACAAAATTATATTAAAGTTGCGCAGTTTTATAAAGGATACCTTTCTTTGGTTATATGATTCTATTAACTCCCAACGTCACTTTTTTAAACAGAGATCCTATTCTAAAATAGAGGTACTTGAGCAGAAAACTAAGAATTTACATGCATCCACGTTAATGCAAAAGAACTAAGGTAGTTGTTTTGAATGAGGCAATGTGTGTAAAGCACTCAGTGCAACATCTGACCAAATGAAAGTACTTAACTTGTAGGTGCTAATGTTTCTACTTGTGATAAGTGCTATACATATATCTGTATTAAGCAATAATGCATTTCAGAGATCCTGAATCCTTCCCTTTTAAATCTTTTACAGTATTTTGATTTAGATAAATTTTTAATATTACAGGCATAGTGAGTGATTCTGCTGAACTGTCAACATTTTTCTGTCAATAGGGGGCCCTCTTGTAATATTTAAAGAAAATGTTCACGTGAAAAATAGAATATTTGAAAATAAATGCTGTGATAATTCTGCATTGTATCTCACTTCAGAACAGTCTTCAAAATCTGTGATCAAGATATTGTTTTTAGCTCTGTTTTCCTAGCATGAGATTGCTGTATAAAAATTAAAGTTGTGTAATGAAGTTCTTTATAAATACATGTACATGCATAAATGTGCGTTTGTACACACATGCATATATATATATATA